GCTGCCAATCATTAGTAACATTCTTACCAAGTTACATGAAAATCGTTTTAATGCTTCTGAGATATAACAGAAATAGTGTAAAATTCACACATTATTATGCAGATGAGCTCATTAATATGCATGGATGTCAATCAAAAACTAATCAAATCTGCGCATTGCCCCAGACAAGCTATATACCAAGTTCCATTGAAATCCGAAAATTGGTTCTTGAGATATCGATGGAACAGACACACACACACACACACACAGACAGACAGACAGACAGACACACACACACACACACACATACATACAGACACACTAACTGCAAAGACTCCCTTTTTGTGCTTTGCACACGGGAGTCAAAAATGTCAAACACCAATTAAAATCAAACTATCAGTTGTGAAAAACACATGCGCACATAAATAACAAGGAGTATGTACTTCTGTACATCTGGCTTCTCTTCACACACTCAAATATGTATTTTTTTTCCATGGTGCTCATTTACTTTTTATATTTGAGTTGAATGCTCTTATCGGATGTTTGTTAGATTTGCATTGAAAATATGTAACAAGACTATAGGAATTTAAGGTGACTATAGGAAGTATATTAGAAAAGACAGTAAAAATAGGTTTTGAAACTGATAGTTGAAGAATGGCTATGTTTGTATATAACAATGGACCGAACACCTTCACACCTTCATGTACATATAGTAAACTATATCAATCACAAATCACATGCTTTAACTAATTCAGTAGAGAGACCATACATTCACACACTCGTTGATCTGCTTAACACTCATGGTGTTGCTGCTTAAAAAATGTACCAAAAATGTGAAGAAAAGTTGTACCCTTGGATCATGTGAGAACATTTAGAAAAAGTCTGCTCACTAGTACTTTCCTAGTAAATGATGACAAGGAATGCCATTATCAAAAGTATCATGTATCAGAACAATTGTAACAAGTCATGCATGGCACATTCCCATTAGTTATCGAATTTAAGATATATAGTTTTGTTTATAGTAATATAGCTGGAATATAAACATGTCAGGAATATGATTATGATGATTGTTTAACATTTAAATGATTGACATTTGTATCTGATAGTCAAACGAGTATTGAGAGATATTGCTCTGGAACAGCATTAATCAAAACAAAATCGGCCATTTTGAATACACGTATAATGAATATATAAAATTTGAACATAATCATTCAAAGCATGTCAGAGAAGCCCATTCATTAAAACAAAATGGCCGCTAGTCAGTCATTCTGAATCAGATTTGAAAATAAAATAAAATGACGTGCATCAAGAACCCGTAATGTAAAATGTATGTACCAAGTTTGAACAAAATCCATCCATAAATGCCAGAAATGCTTGATATTTGATGATTTTTACCACAAAAATGGCCACCATTTGTCCATTTTTAATAGGATCGTCAAACCAATATACATGTACATGTATTTGTATATCTATGACATAATGTATAATGGATATTTTAAATTTGAAGATAATCAGTCAAAGCAAGTTAGAGAAACAAAATGATGTGCATCAAGGTTCTATAATGTCCAACGTTTGAACAAAATCCATCTGTAAACAGCCGAGAAATGCTGGATTTTGATGATTTTTAGCACAAAAATGACCGCCATTCGGCCATCTTAAATCAGATCATGAAACAAATTGATGTGCATGTGTATAATATCATGTTAATATATGTGTGAAGTTTGATTGCGATTGGTCCAGGCATTTCTAAGATACAGGTCCGGACGCGCACACACACACACACACACACGGAAGCATGGAGGTTCAAAACACAAGTCCCGTTTTCGGACTGCGTTTGAACAGGGACTAATAAGAGAAAGTAGTACCGGTATAATGCAAATAAATAAATGGTATCATGTACATGCTGAAAGTGAAAAACGTGATTCGTGTTTATTATCACTCATAATTATTGCTGATCAAATTGAAACAAAGACAAATTTAAGACATCATTGACCAATGGATTTTTTATTAGATGAAGAAATATCAATACACCCTGTTGTCCTAACACGATTGTGTTGAAAAGAGGATGGCAAAATAAGCCTATATGATAGTGTGAATATCTTATATTTTAAAGTTTTAGAATTTCTAATAAAACTGGTTATGACCAATAGGCATAAAGTGTCATAGTTTGTGACTCTATAAATTGACATGTAATATACACAGACTTCTATTCTTTTTGTTCACCATCAATGTTTTTTACAGGTGGTTTGGCTGGATTCATTCCCAATTTATGCATTTCAACTGCAACCTCAAAAAGATAATCCAAACACTCGCACCTAAAGTGAAACAAATTTGACATGTATAATTACATAGAATGTACAAGAAAATAACAATACATAATTCTACTAGATCTTATTACAAAGTTGCATGATTCATTCTTTTACTATGTGTAGCAATTACCGATCAGTGATAAAATTAGATCACATTCAATGCACAGAAGAAGTGAAATGGTTTTTGATACAGTCTAGGCCATATAGAAATATACTAACTAGATATATAGAAAGACATGAGGGGAAAAGAAGGATTGCAAGTGCCACAGAATCTAAACATGGCTGACAAGCTCACAAAAGGGTGTTCGATCATCAGCAGGATGCACCAGCCAACAAGTCAGTAGTGGCAATATCGATGTTTTATTTGTCATCTGCCATATTCATCTGATTTAGAACATCTAACATTCATCTCTTCCCCAAACATAAAAAAGGAATTGACTGGCAGTCATTTGGCAACGAATGGTGATATAATTTCTGTCATTCAATTTTCAGCAGTGAGAAGACTTCATTTTGACATCAAGACACTGCAGTATTGCTGGCAATTGTGTGTAGATCCCAAAAGAAACTGTGATAAATACAACTAATGATTAACCCCATAACAAGAGCTTCAATATTGTCAGCCTCAAAGCATTTCAGCTAATGCTCACACAACATAATGTACTGCATAAGATGGTAGCATAATATGGTTAGATAATGCAAAAGATGGCTGGTTAATTTGCTTTATGTTACTATTATGAGGAATATTGATCATATGCTACTTACATAGCTTTGGCTTTTTGCCAAGAAGGGCCCCAAACATAAATACCATGGCTCCGCACAAGAACTGCAGGACATTTTGGGTATTCTTCCATGGCCTTTTTCATCCTTTCCTGTTATCAATTTAAGTTATGTACAAATTACAGACATGACAAAGTCTATGTCTAGCACAACTCAGAATTTGTTCATTTGTTCTCAACAGTATTTTATC